TCTATGTTAAAAGAAACTTAGAGATAATTAAGATACAGAATTTCTAAGTATGAGTGAAACTTGTGTCAATCCTGATCCAAAGAAACAAATGTTTTGTAAAATGAAATTTTTAGGCCATCAGGAAAATTTGCACAGGGGCTGCATTTTAAATAGTAACTAATAATATTTTTGTTGATTTTTAGGTATGATGATGGTGTTTTTAATGCAAATGTCTTTGCTTATCTTTCTTCACAAATAAACTGAAGTATGCAGTGGAGGAATAATATTATTCCAGGAATCATTTAAAAACACTCCACCTTTTAAGAAGCAGCTAGGGTATACATGAAACAAATATGGCAAAGCCACTGGTGGTTTTTGAAGTTGGGCGATGAGTTCATGGAGTCCCATCGCACTCTTGACCCAGAAATTTTCTTTACAAAAGATGAAAGGAAAAAAAAAGAATCATTGGTGGCAGAGAAGTAAATATTATCTGAGCAAACTGAGTGTGATCTCCAGAAAAAAGTCAGTTATATCTTAGTCTCTTGTCCTTTTCATTCTGTGATTCCATTGCTACTTTTGGAAAAGAATCAAAAACTGTTATTTAAATACCAATGTTTCTGTGACTAAGTCTATCCAAAGGAATGTAGAGAATTGAGGAGTCTGTAGATAACTGGAACCAGTCCTGGTAATGTGAGGTCACGAGATCCTTTTGCTAATTAGACGACTATTTTTCATTTGCGTTTATAATTGACTTGATGAATACTCAGCGTGCATGGTAGGTGTTGCTATGAACAACAGATAATATCCAAGTGATCTCTACCATAAGGGATTATTGGAAATTTCTTCCTTTTGCACTTTTTAGTTTGTTGATTTTTCAGAACTGGAAAATGCATCTTACCAGCATTTCATATTAAAGGAAAAAAAGAAGACATGGAAGATGACCTGAGTTTCCTGAACATGTGGTCTCTGTAGCCATGAGACAATCTATACAGTCTGTATACTCAAATGAATGTCATCTCTTCTATGTAGTTATTCTAGGAGGCAATATGCTATTTTTTGGAGTTCACATTCCTTTAGGATTGTCCTCAATGTCTAAGTAAATTTTGTCTCTGATAAATGGGGCAAATACTCAACATAGTTTTGACACCCAAAAGAAAGGAAATCAGTATATCTAAAAGATATCTGCACGCCTATATTTGTTGCAGCACTGTTTACAATAACTAATATTTGGAAGCAACCTAAAAATAAGTAGACGTTATTTAGAGTTATGCCTAGTAAATAAGATGGATGTGATAATTTAGAACTTAAAGTCTAACACTACTGTAAACAAATCAAGCTTATTATCTCATGTGGCATGTGAACTGGATCTAGGGATATATCCAAGACTGGTTTGTTAGCAAATAAGTGGCAACACTTACTGATTAAAGAATGATACAAATGGGGCAAGAGAATAGTAGGGGAAATAAATACATTTCCACATTCTTTTTGGCCCCAATTTTACAATCCCACCTTCTCTTATTTGAGTATCTATCACCCAGTGTGGACAAGAATGTGGCTGAGAAAAACAATGCAGAACTATAGTTGTTTTCACGCCCAGCACACAAAAGGGTGCCCTTTGATTTGTTTGTACGACAGCAACTCTGTCTTGTGAGTTACATTATACAATGCACTTTGGCTTTGCTTGTTGAATTTATATTTTATACATATGTGTATATATATAATGAATAAATATTCAGATGCAATTTGCATACAACAAAATTCACTTTTTAAATTTTTAATTTTTATTGGTACATAGTAGGTGTATATACTTATGGAGTATATGAGATATTTTGATACAGGCATAACAATGTGTCATAATCACATCAGGATAAATGGGGTATCCATCGCCTCAAGCATTTATCATTTCTTTGTGTTAGGAACATTACAATTATATTTTTTTTACTCACTCTAAAATACACAACACTTTTTTTACTGTAAACACCCTGTTGTGAACATTCACCTTTTTAGATGGGGTATGATTTAGTAGTTTTTAGTCTATTCAGATGGTTATGCAGCTATTATCACTACTAAATTCCAGAACATTTTCATCACCTCCTCAAAAGATCTTAATGCTGTATAGCAGTATACTCCATTACCTCCTCATCCTGCCACTGCCAATCACAAATCTACTTTCTGTTTGTATGGATTTAACTATTCTTGACATTTCACATAAGTGGTATCATACAATATGTGATCTTTGTCACTGAATACTTTCATTTAGCATAAAGTTTCCATCCATGTTGTAGCATATATCAGTACTTAATTTATTATTACAACTGAATAATATTTCTTTGCATGGAAGTATAAATCAAATGTGCCACATTGTGTTTATGCATTAATCATCTGATAGCATTTGAATTAGTTCTACTTTTTACTATAAATAATGTTATTATGAACATCCATTAATAATCTTTTGTGTGGACATACTTTCAATTCTTTTAGGAATATACCTAGGAGTGGAATTGCTAAACCATATGATTACTCTATGACTAACTTTTTGAGCAATTGCCAAAATCTCTTCCAAAGTGGCTGTACCATTTTACATTCCTACCCATTGTGTATACGGGTTATGGTTTCTCACTATCCTCCTCAACATTTGTCTTTTTTGGTCATTTTGGTCAGAGACATCCTAATGGATGCTACATGATATCTCATTGTAGTTATGATTTGCATTTCTTTGATGATTAATGATGTTGAGCCTCTTTTCATGTGTTTCTCTTTTTTCATTTGTATATCTTCCTTAGGAAAATATCTGTTCAAATCTTTTACCCATTTTATAGGGTTATTTGTCCTTTTATTGGTGAGTTGTCTAAGTTATTTATATATTCTCTATACAAGTTCCATATAATATATGTATTTTGCAAATATTTCTCCCATTTCATAGATTGTATTTTGACTTTTTTGATGGTGTCCTGTGAACCACAATAATTTTAAATTTTCAAGAGTTTCAATTTGTCTGTTTTTTCTTTTGTCACTTTTGTTTTTGGTGTCATATCTAAGAAACCATTGCATAACTCAAGGTAAAAAAAAAATTAGCCCTATGCTGTCTTCTAAGACTTTTATAATTTTATCTAATATTTAGGTCTTTTACCCACTTGAGTTAATTTTTGTGCCTTGTGTGAAGTAAGAGTCCAGTTTTATTTTTTTGCATGTGAACATACGGTTGATCTGTTACTATTTGTTGAAAAGACTATTCTTTTCACCATTCAGCAACCTTGCCATCTTTACTGAACTCAATTGACCATAAATGTAAGGGTTTATTTCTGGACTCCTAATTCTCTTCAGTTGATGTATTTGTCAATCCTTACATCAGCGCCACCTAGTTTGTATAACTCTGTCTTTGCAGTTAAGTTTTAAAATTGAGAATTGTAAGACCTCTAACTTGGTTCTTCTTCAAGATTGTTTTGGCTATTCTGGGTCTCTTGCATTTCCAAGTTAATTTAAAAATCTTTTTATCAATCACTGCGAAAAAAAAAAAGCCAACTGGGGTTTTGATAGAAATTGCAGTGAATCTGTATATAAATCTGAGAATTATTACCATCTTAACAATATTATATCTTCTAATTCACAAACATGGGATGTGTTTCCATTTTGACAATGTATTATCAATAATAAAATCTTTAAAGTGGATAATGCTTTGTAGCTTACAAATTTTTTTTTTTGGTACATTTTGTTTCACTCGATGTTGAAAGCAAATGTGTTAGCTTGTAGAGCAAATAAAGAGAGTGAGTTGCCAAAAGTTACATGGGGATTTGAAAGCCAAAACTGTTCCCCTGACTAATTTCTTTGCTCTTTCCCTACACCATGCCATCAATCACAAGAAGTACATCAGTTATTGTACATTTCAATTTCACCTCACTTTATTTTTCACCCTGCCAATGGACATAAGAGTTGTGATATTTTGAAAGCTTTGCATATTTGAAACTTGAGACCCTGAAATATTTAAAAGTAAATTTAGGATGTCCTGAATATTTTTGTAGTTAGATTACATGGAGTGATAAGACAATTGAGGCAGAGTCCGAGTTTAAAGAGAAATATACTTGATGATTTATGATGGCGTTCAAATATCAAGCAACTTTGCATTTCTTTCAGTGTGTTGATATAGCAATGGTCCCAGAATTCAGTCACATAAAAACCATTTATATTTACAGTTGAAATCTTTAGGGTCCAAGGCAGCTATATTAATATGAGATGACAATGATAAATGATTATACTTTATTATTTAAATGTTATATATATTTATTATTTAGAATGACATTGGTAATGATTTTGAAATCTTTTGACATCTCACTGTTCCTGTTTCTCTAACTTTTAAGTATATCACTAAGTCATTCACTTCTGAAAGATTTAATTTAGTTTGGTTATTCCAAGTTATCCTTAAAACCTTCCACACAGATGTGTCAATGTTAATATCTCTCTTTATCATTGTGAATGATCTCTTTCTGCTATTGTCAATATTTCCTGGAAAATCATTAACCCTTTGTGGAATTTCTAAACAATAAGCCACCACAGAAAATAGGAGTAGATGTTAAAGTATTTACAGTTAATTCAAATACTAACAATAGTGAAGTAGAAGAAAGTTATATAGGAAAAACAGGATGGGAGAAAGGGAAAAGGCATCAAACTGAGGAAAGAAAAAACTTTATGTGAGTGCAGCCAAACCAGATGACACAAAAACATGCAATTGGTCTGATTTGCTATGGCTCATCAACATAGTCATGCCACACAGCAGGGATAAGAAAATCCAGGCCCCATCATACATGCTCTACAGAAGATATCAAGTGATTTAGCTGGACCAGCTCTATGTAAAACAGGTGGTAGATGGTAGAGACTTTCCACTGAGAAATTATGGAAAGATTGCCTTCACATTCTGGAGGCCACTATCACAGAATACCTAGATGTTCCAGGGATCAGCATGACAAAATTAGGTTTCAGAGAAAGTAGTGGAAGTGGGCAATGATAAAAAGAGGAGCAGTACTTACGACGGTGTTAAAAAGCAAAGTCACCATTTTGCCAGAGACTGTGTTCATTCATCTGTTCATTTTGCATGATTCAGTCAGTAAGCATTTCTTGAGCGTTCAAGCATTCCCTTGTTTGCAGGGCACTGAGAGGGATGTGAAGAGACACAAAACATAAGTTTTACATTCAAGAGTGTATAAGTTTAGTGGGGAAAATACGTGTGTTCACAATGAACTCTAATAACAAAGGAAAGTGCTAATTAACTATGTACCTTATTTATAATGTAAGAGGTCTAGATTGAACCAAATTATTTCTCAAGTTTTTTTAACCCTGAAATTCTAGTTCTGTGATTTTAAATATTCAAGTAGAAAAACAGCATATTACCAGAGCACAGAAGAAGAAAAGCTTATGTAATATTAATAATGACTATAAAGTATCAAGAATGTCATGATGAAAGTGCCATTTGATTTAGACCTCTAGAGACAAATGTGTGCTAGTAAGTACAATAGGTGGGAGTGGGTGGCTTTCCAGAGCAAAGAAGCAGCACAAGCAAAAGCTTTAAGGAATTAGGTACTTTGTTGTTAAGTGTTTTTTTTTTCTTAATTTCAACTTTTATTTTAGATTTGGGGGTACATGTGCTGATTTGTTACATAGGGTTATTGTCTGACGCTGAGGGTGGAGTACCATTGATCCTGTTATCCAGATAGCAAGCATAGTACCTTGTAAGTAGTTTTTCAGTCCTTTTCCCTGTTTTGGTGTCCCTAGTATCTGTTGTCCCCATCTTTGTGCCCATGGTACACAATGTTTAGCTCCCATTTGTAAGTGAGAACACATGGCATTTGGTCTTTTGTTACTGATTTAATTTGCTTAGGTTAACAGCTTCCAGCTGCATCCATGTTGCTGCGAAGGACATTATTCTTTTTTGACTGCATAGTATTTCATAGTGTATTTGTACCAGATTTTCTTTATCCAATCCACTGTGGATGGGCACTTAGACTGATTTCATATTTTTGCTATTGTGAATAGTACTGCAATGAACATGCAAGATCATGTGCCTTTTTGGTAGAATTATATATTCCCTTTGGGATATAACTAGTAATGGGATTGCTGGGTTGAATGGTAGTTCTGTTTTAGGTTTTTTGAGAAATCTCCAAACTGCTTTCCATGGTGGTTGAATTTATTTACATCCCCACCAACAGTGTATAAGCATTCCCTTTTCGCCAACAGTGTATAAGCATTCCCTTTTCACCACAACTTTGCCGGTATCTCTTTCATTTTTTTTATAGAGACATAATATCACTCTGTCACCCAGAGTGCAATGGCACAATCAAACTTCACTGTAGCTTTGAATTCTTCGGTTCAAGTAATACTCTGGCCTTGGCTTCCTGAATAGCTAGGACTACAGTTGTGCACCACTACACATCGCTAAGTTTTTTTTTCCTTTTTAAAATATTTGTAAAGATGTTGCCCAGGATGGTCTTGAACTCCTGGCCTCAAGTGGTTCTCTTACCTCAGTCTCCCAAAGCCCTGGTATTACAGGTGTGAGCCACTATATGTAATCTTTCTTAGGAAAGAAAAAAAGATTTATCTAATCAGTAGTCATAAATTAATAATAAAAGTTGATGTTTAAAATGCATTTCATTTTGGTTTGACATAACAATTTTTTCCGGATGTGCCGAAAATAATTTCCACATTCTTACACCACTCTTCACAGTTCATTTGGAATATTCTTGTTTAGAGTTTTGTTTATTGTTTCTATAACAGTATTTGTTTCACAGTTGGTATATTTATGTAATACATTCTATTCACATTCCAAGACAAACCTAGCCTTAAGTAAAAATGCTGGATTGAAGGCGTGTTGTTTAAATGTCTCTGCCATTGAACAAAGAATGTAAAAATTCTAAAATGCATGAAAAATAGCTCTGTGAATGTAGAAGCACTAACAAAATACTTTAGTATTTAAAAATAATTGATAATTTAATCTGACTGAGATCCCCATGTATAATTCTTACTGAGTGCCTACATTCATGTACAAGTTCTTATAATAGGCCCTAAAAATAGGGCTCTAATTGTAGGGAGTCTGTTAGAAAGTCTAGGAAACAAAAACACAAATAACCCTATGACAATACAATACCCTGAAGAATATAAAGCAAAGCCATTAAAGGATACCAAAAACAAATCTTTAGACCTCAATGAGTTAAAAATTAAGACCTCATGACCACTACATACTGTCAATAAAACAAATGCCATGAAGTTGGACCACTTTACACTACATATATTCATTCCTTTAGAATTTTGTTGCTCAGAAATTTTTTTCTTCTTTCTCTTTCTTCCACTTTCTTTTCCTTTTCTCTTCTTTTCTCCCTCACTGAAACTGCACTAACTCATCTATACATCATCTTTAGTGTTCCGTCTTTAGTTCTTTACAAGTCTATTAATAGTTCTGCTCATCCCCCTGCCTCTAATCTTCATCATTCTTTTGAGGCCAATGTAAGAGTTTGCTGCTCAGATACATTTTACCAATTCCTTTTAATTACATTTACAAATTGCATTTATTTCAAAAATGTAAGTTGATTTTTTTCTAATACATATTGGGTTTAACTTTGCTTTCTATTTCATTTGGCATTCATAGACATGATGAGGAAAGACAGTTACCATAAGAAGAACTGACCTTAGAAATATCATATTTTACTTTATATTGTTTAATGAATCTTTCACTAACATTGTCACAGAATCTAATATTGAATACATTGAACTTTAGCTTTGTTAAAATTGTGAACCTAAGTTTTTTTGTCTTACCGACATCACATTTGGATAGGTAACATGTACTTTGTCAGAAGGTTTTTTTAATTTTTATTTTTTTGTAACATGAAATATTGGGGTAATGTTTTTTCAGAAAGTCAGAAAGAACTGGTGCCTTTTCATTTTGATTTGTAAATGTTTTGTTTGTTATGGCTTTGTACTTCACTGTTTTGAGTTTCTTCATAAATTAAGGCAGAAATTTTATCTGCAGTTTCACATTCTGTAATTCTAAAAAATTCATTATCAGTCCACAGTTTTTGTGCTTCTTTATTTCTTGACACAAATATCATATAACTAAAAGCATTTCCAAAATGTTACCACTGCCAGTTCATTGAAGTATTCCTAGGTTTGACAGAACAGGTTTAAAACGAAGGAAATACGATGATCACTTGGGTTCCTAAACATTGCTTTAACCCCGATTTTCCAGATTATCTTTCATTTAGACAATCACGTAACCTTTAGCATGGGTGATTTTCACTTTGTAACACAGGTAAAGTTTTCAAGATTTCTTTAAAGTACATTTCCGGTTTATCTATTTATATACCTATTTAAATATGGCTAAAGATCAAACAACAGCTAGCTTCAAAATTACCCGGCTAATAATCATTAACATGAAGGTCATAGTCAAGGATACCACATTTCTCAAATCAAACAAAGACACCTTACAATAAGGTAAACTACTTGTAATTCATTTTAAACTAGAAAATTTTTAATATATCAGTAGCAACGATGGCTAATGTGAGTATCTACTACAGTGACTTTTCTCTCCTTTTTCTTAATATATTATAACCACCATTAAATTCAAATTAAACAATTTTACTGAGAACCTCTTATCAAGGCACTGTTAAGTGCTAGGCACTGTTGGGCATCCAAAAAATTACAACTGGCTCATTTAATGGTACATTACAGTTGACAAAACTTTCATGTGTATATTACCACATCTGCTTAGCCTAATAAAGAAAGCATAAGACACTCTTTATTTTATAGAAGCCAATATAAATTCACTGCTTTGCCTAAAGTGACATAGCAATTATGACGTGGGTTCAGGTACAGCTTTTCAAACTCAAAAACCAGTCCTCTTTGTGATCTGCCTTTATAGCATAAAGGCAGGATACCTGAATTTAGGGAGTTCCTAAGGTAGATAGAGAATAGATAAATAACAGTACACTAAAATAATATTGTAACATCCTGTAATCTCAGCAGTTTGGGAGGCCGAGGTGAGTCGATCACGAGGTCAGGAGATCGAAACCATCCTGGCCAACATGGTGAAACCTGTCTCTACTAAAATACAAAAATTAGCTGGGTGTGGTAGCATGCACCTTTAATCTCATTTACTAAGGGAGACTGAGACAGGAGAATTGCTTGAACCCAGGAGGCAGAGGTTGCAGTGAGCCGAGATCATGCAACTGCACTCCAGCCAGGTGACAGAGTGAGACTCCACCTCAAATAATAATAATATTATTAATAATGTAACATAGCAATAAAGGAACTTCAATGGCAGTAGGTTGGAAAATAACTTTGTAATCTGAGAATTAATAAACACAATTTCAAAGAAAAATACAGAGGTGGTAAACTCCGCAGAAGCATAAAACTTCTGTAAAACACTAAAAACAACCTTAAAATGTTAAATATAAATAATGTACCAATAAACTATAGAAAAAAAATGACAAAAGACTATTGTTTGTAGTCTTTTTGAAGAGCCCATAGAAATTGAAACAAAGACATTAAGAACCTAATGGATAAATGGACAAAGAAAATGAAGAGACAATTCATAAGAAAGGATATAGTAGTAAACCAATATGTAAAAAAAATGTTCAACCGTACCACTACAGTGCTTGAAGAAACAGAAAAGAACACAAAGAAATACTATTTAGAATAATATATAAGCTTAAAAATTAGAGGATAATACACAGAACTAATGTGTGTATAAAATTGTTGTAACCTTGAATTGTTAGTGGCCTAAGAACCACAACAATACTCTTTTCCTCAAAAATATAATTTCTGGAAATTCATCATAAGAAAATCATCCAAACCAACAAAAATTTGTGACTAAAAAAATGAATCAAAATATTGTCTACAATAACAACAGAATAGGGGAAGCAACCCAAGTATTTAACAATAGGAAAAGGCTTAGGTAAAGTGTAATCCATACATACTACAGATTGTTATAAAACTATTATGAATAATCTGTCTGAAGATGGCAGCAAAAATATGCTTAGAAAACATTGTTGATTGAAAATGTACATAGCACATGGCTGAAATGGAATATAAAAATTGCAGTAAGTATTTGAAAATTTCTTGGTCCTCTTTTTCCAGGCTAAGCTATTTCTACTCTAATTCACA